AATATCTTGCTGCCTTTGGTAAGAATGTCAGACCAGGATCAAACCTAGGAGAAAAGGCTCACTTATGACCTAAAAAGACCAGCAGTTGCCACTTTGCCTTTTTCCAAGTCTGAGGCAACTTTTTTACAAGTGGACTCTCTGGTAATCTGGGAGGAATACTTGCTTCTGGACCTGGAAGTCCACGCAGTGACCACTAACACTAAGGGTTGTCTCCCTTTGGGTGTGTGGAGAGTGGGCACAAGGGTATATTATTCTGTAGGCTGAGCACTTTAGAAGGTTTGCCTCGGACAGCACATTGCTCTGTGTATACCAGGATGGGCCATTTCTCCCTGTGCAATTGCTGTTGTGAAGTTTTTAAGCACCATCATGCTCCTTGCAACTCATAGCGACCCTATGTACAACAGCCCTTCGCCCTGCTCTATCCTGAGCCAAACTCGTGCTCTCAGACACACCCACACTCTTTACCCCAGTCACTGAGTCAATCCATCCCATCCAGGGTCTTCCTCGTTTGCGCTGTCCCTCCATCCTGCCAAGCATGATGTCCCTCTCCACGGACTGGTCCCGCCTTATAACATGCCCAAAGTATGTCAGATGAGCTTCAGAATCCTTACCTCCAAGGAGCAGCCTGGTTTCGCCCTCTCCAGGACGAACTTGCTTGTTCTCCTAACAGTCATGGTATATTTAGTACTCTTCTCCAACAGCACAGCTCAGAGGCATCAGTTCTCCTTCTATCCTCCCTAGTCATTGTTCAACTTTCATACTTTAGACATTAGCTAGGAGAGGCTATTCCTTGGAAAGAGACATCATGACTATAAAAATGGAGGGTCAGCAAAGGAGAGGAAGACCCTCAATGAGATGGATTGACAGTCATTTCAGCAAAGGGCTTGAGTGTGTCGAGATGATAGAGGTACCACTGGATAGAGCACGGTTCAGGCTGCCTGTTCAGAGGGTCTCTGTGAGTTGTACATGACTTGACTGCACCTAACAACAACTTGGTCCTACTGTGTCACTGTTTTGGGATGGATTCCATGACAGTGGGTCTAGTTTATTTGGGATGGTAAAGATGGAGTCATGTGGTAGGCGTTTGCTGGTTTGGGATAACAAGCATCAGCTGTTTGTCCTTCCTAGTAAAAGAATCCTTATTTTAACTTGGGATTGTTTCCACCCGTGCAGCCCATAAGCCCCAGGGCAGGCTGATACAGCCCTAGTTCCAGATGGGGTCCTGAGCTTATTTAAGTAAAGTACCATCCTTGTTGTCATGGTGACTATTTCAAGGATGAGCATGACCATGTGAGTGTTCCAACCAATAAATCCTGAGCAGACACATTATCCTGATCTCTGGAAAGGGATGTCCTTGAGTTTTAAAAATAAACCAAAAAACCAAACCAGACAGCACCAGACTAAGCTGGGAGGGAACCTGTGGTCCAAGCAGCTGAACAAGAGCAAAGACCATGACCTTGAGTGTGAACTATACCTCACCATCAATTAAACAAGAATTCTCACACCCAGACCAGTAGATGACATTACAATGAATAGAGAAAAGATTGGAGTTGTCAAGGACTTCATTTTACTTGGATTCACAGTAAGAACTCATCAAAGTAGCTGGCAAGAATCAAGCAATTCTTCGGGGAGTCAAATCTGCTGACCTCCTTTGCAGTCTCCCTCCGTCTCACCAGGGAGCTCTGGTGTACTGTCACTAAGGAATTGCACTGCCAACCCAGAGAGGGGTGGTTCGAATCTACCAGCTGCTCTGGGGGAGAAAGATGGGCAGTCGCCCCCAGGGAGACTCACTGCCTCTGAAAACCCACTGGAGGGTCAGCTATGAGTCGGTCCTGGCTGGAGGGTGTACGGCCACCACCTCTGTCTCACGGGCGTCCCTCCTCTCCGTGACTGAGGCTTCTCCCTGTGCTTTTCTCCCCATTCCGAGAATCATTTTACCCGTCTTCCTCGGCATGAACCCAACCATTAAACAAGCACTCACTCGTCAACAAAACACTAAGAGTGGCAGAGGTTAGAACGCACCATGAAATTTGACCTTTCCAATAGTTTGCCTTCAAATAAAGAAATAAGACATTTCCCTTCCCAGTAAGTCACTGTTTGATCTTTTGGTTCATAAACTTTGCCACATGCATCTAGCCCCAGATTTAAGATGACATTCCAATTCAATGTCTCCAGTAGACTGCATTCCAAAGGCATTTCAATACCTCATTTAAAAAACATATTTATGATTATTGCCATTTAAGATACCATCTATAAATCCAGTCTTTTATTTGTGTTTAAGATTCTTATACCTTCAAATATGTGGGTATGTTTTAACATTGTATGCAGTTCTTTTCCATCGAATTGCCTGTGACTCAGAGTGACTGTATGTACAGCATCTTCGAAGCCTGCCCTATTCTGAGCCAGCCTTACTGACTCTAACACTTGCCCCAGTTACGGTATAAATCCACCTCATCCCAGGTATTTCTCTCTGTGCTCTCCCTCCACTCTTCCAAGAATGATGTCATTCTCCAAGGCCTGGTCCTTCCTGGCCATTTGCCCAAAGTGAGTGAGATGGAGCTTCAAAATCCTAGCCTCTGAGGAGAAACTTAGGAGGAATATATGATTAGGTTTTATTGTTATGACAAGAGTCCAGAATGAAAGTTGCCTAGTGGAGTGAGTGGACTGGGGACGGAGAATTGTATAACAATGAAATAATTTTTTTCCCTTAATTTTCAAAGAAAAAAGCAAACTAGGAGGGAGAGGTGGGCAGGGAGGAAAGTGTGCAACATTAATGAATGGAAATCCAAAGTCTCTCTAAACTTTAATGAAAATAAATTTTAAAAAAAGAAACTTATTTGTCTTCTTGGCAGTCCTTGGTATGTTCAAGACACTTCTCCAGCACCACATCTCAAAGGCATCAATTCTTCTGTCATCCTTAGTCATTGTCCAGCTCTCTGATGTATAGCAAGTCATTGTAAAGGCCATGGTCTGGATCAGGTGCACCTTAGTCTCTAGGCTGACATCATTGCTTCTCAGTACCCTGGAGGGGTCCCTGCAGCAGATTTTCCCAGTGCAATTTGTCTTTTGAGTTTCTGACTGCTGGTGTCAATAGTGTTTACTGTGGAGCTGAACAAGCTGTAACTGTTAACAACCTCAAACTCTTCATCTATCATGGTGCTGCCAATTGGCCCAGTGGTAAGAATCTTTGTCTTCTTGATGTTGAGCTTCAGTCCATATTGAAGACTATATGCAGTACATATTACTAATGATGAAATATTTTTTAAAAATCTAGTGGTTAGAGGTGTGTTTTTTTTATAACTTGAATAAAGACATCTGACTTAATAATGACATCATGGGACACCTGCATTGCATTTTCAATCAATGTGCCATAAAGTAAAAGCTTAAAATAATTTTTTTATAAAACCAAAAAATGTGAGAGTGATATGTACTGATACCTGTATCCATCAGTGTGTGGGTGTGGGGTGCAGGTGTAGGGGGATGGGTTGCGGGGGTTTGGAGGATGCAGGGGTGTGGAGGGTCGGGGGGTATTTTTGATCAGTCAGATCCTCTGTAATGTGCAGAAACACAGGACAAATTATAAGGAAAAGTTGAGAATCACTGACATGGAATAAAAATCTCTGTCCCATCCTGATCTGGTCTATCATATCTTATAATTGCCTGGTGGCCTCTCCATGAGATGAGTGAGGCAGAGGCTGGGGTTAGGGGTTAGGAGGACAGTGCATGGCAAATAAGAATGAGAGAAATATGAAATAAGAAGGCTGATTTATCTAATAATACATCTGGTATATTTATTGATCAACTATTTTATGCTCATTCATGAGGGTTCAAACTAATGTACGAGTTTTAAAAGGTTCATGGAGGTTCCAACACAAGGCTACCATGTTTATTTTATCAGACAGAATTGCATAAAGTATCATTCACCTCCAAGTAACAGAATGCATTTGAGCTACATGAAGCAAGAAAATGGGAGCCAGGTACTTGTCACTGTTGTCCGTGACGGAGCTCCTTCTCTAGCACCAAGGCCACCTCCTCAAACACACCCAGAACAAAAGTGTGGGGGAGCTGCCGCTCCCGACTCCTCAGAGGCGAGGACGTCAGAGTGCCCACCCCGAGCCAGCTGCTTCCAGAACCGTGGCGTTTGCTGGATCCCAAACCAGCTGCCTCATACACCATTGTTAGGGACTGACTTGTGTTCCTCAGAAAGCTAAGTGCTAACCCTGGTCCTGTTGAGGAAATGGGGTCCTTCTCTGAAGATACTGTCAGTTAAATCATGCTAGAGTAGGGTGGGTCCCACTCCTAATGCCCTAGTGCTGTAATAGAACTTTCTAAACCAGTGCCCTCCGACACCCTAACCAAGTCTGCAAGGGACAGAAGACAGACACACCGGTCAGGCTCCAGCTACAAGCACAGGAACGCCAACACCCGCAGTGCTACCAGGAAGGATCTTCCTCTAGAGATGGTTGAGGGAGAGCGGAACTTGGAGCAAGTTCTGAATGGGTCATTTGGATCTCGAGAACTGTGAGGAAGGAAGAAAGTATATATATATATATACTCTGTGTGTGTGTGTGTGTGTGTGTGTGTGTACACATATTATGTTGTATTTTGTTATATCAACCCTTGAAAACTAAAATATGGTCAGATTTTCTCCCCACTCAGTTAATCTATTTATTTACTCTCAGGATTAGAAGCCTCACATGGGGTCACAGCTCCAGAGAACCCTTTTTTAATTCTCTATACAGGGCCACCCCCTGAGAGTCCCTGACAGCAAGAGCTGACCTCAGGACATAATCAAGAGGACACAACTGGTGTGGACATGACCATCACACAAGTACTGGCCAGATGAGGCATAAAGAGAATGGACAGAGAAGGCCGGCGGGACAGCTGGAATCTGGTCACATTCTGTTCAACAGTCGTAACTAGTCAGAGCAGAGGCCTAGCAGTAGGGAAGGCTGGCAGGGCAGGTGGAATCTGGTCCACACTCTGTTCCACTGTCATAACTAGTCAGAGCGGGAGGCCTGGCAGTAGGCCAGCTTTTTCAGCGCCTCCTTGACCTCCCGGTTCCTCAGACAATAAATGAAAGGGTTGAGTGCGGGAGTGACAATGGCGTAGAAGATGGAAATGACTTTGTTCATGTTGAAGGCGTGGATGGCACGGGGCCGGGCGTACATGAAGATGGTGGCGGAGTAGAAGATGGTCACCACGACCAGATGGGAGCCACACGTGGAGAAGGCCTTCTGCTTCCCCGTGGGCATGCGCAGAACAGTGGCCAGAATGCACCCGTAGGACAGGACAGTGACAGCGAGTGGGAAGAGGAAGATGACCAGGGCCAGCACAAAGTCCACCAGCTCAGCCGTGGACATGTCTGTGCAGGAGAGATTGAGCACAGGTGAGATGTCACAGAAGAAGTGGTTGATGACGTTGGGGCCACAGAAGCTGAGACGGGAAATGAAGTAGATCTTTGCCAAGGAGATGCCAAAGCCAATGGCCCACGACCCAACAGCCAGGCGGGCACAGAGTCCGTGGCTCATAATGGTGGGGTAGTGGAGGGGGCGGCAGATGGCCACGTAGCGGTCGTAGGCCATGGCGGCCAGGAGCACACACTCGGTGCACATGAGAGCGATGAAGAAGTAGAGCTGGACCATGCAGTGGGTGAACGGGATGCTGTTGCTTGCAGCCCAGAAGCTGACCAGCAGCTTGGGCACCGTCACGGAGATGTACCAGGTCTCCAGGAAGGACAGGTTGGCCAGGAAGAAGTACATGGGCTTGTGCAGTGGCCGGTTCTGCTGCACCAGGATGATGATGACCACGTTCTCAGCCACAGTCAGGACGTAGGCCACCAGGAACATCAGGAAGACCGAGACGCGCATGCCCCAGGTGCCGGGGAAGCCCACCAGCACGAACTTGGTGACTCGGGTCTGGTTCTCCACCTCCATGCTGCAGCAGCTGACCTCAGCTCTGCCAGGGGAGAGAATCACTCGGTCAGACCCTGCGTCCCGGGACAGCCATCCACCTCTGCCTTCTGCGACTGATGGCAGCAGGTAAGGACAGCCTTTCTCATCACACATGGCACATGCACTACAGCATGAAGGCAGCTCTGCTTGCCTAGAGGGACCCAAAAGGCAGGCGGTTCAAACCCACCAGCTGCTCCACAGAAAATACAGGGCAATCTCCTCCTGTGCACACAAGAGAACAAAACAACACCAAAACTTGTGCCAATACACACACACACACACACACACACACACACACACACACACGTACGTACGTTATTTCACCCGTCGCTGTGACGAAAACACTGCGTCTCAGGACTACTCAGTAACTTACCAAGTCCACACCGCAGCAAGGCAGGGGTCACGTTCAAGTCTAAGTCTGTTCATACTTTATGCTGCCTTCACCCTCACAGCCACATGAAGCTCTATCAAGCCTCCACATTTATTGTGCTGGTTGCCAAGTCTGCAGAACCAGCCTGCTCTTCCTGCCCCTCCATCTCCCAGAGCAAAGTGGAGCCCACCCTCACACCTGCAAAGCACCAGCCCATCTACAAAGCATCAGTTCCTTCCCCCCAGTTCTGTCATGGAAATGGAAAGGGGCTGTATCACACCTGAGACACCCTGAGATCTCAGAGGGGTGGACTTCTTTCAAGTCCTGGCTCAGCCACTGGCCTACACGTGGCCTGGAAACCTACCCTCTCTGAGACTCTGTTTCCTCTTCTAAACGCAAGTGTTCTCATGCCTGTCCAACCCGTATCACTGCAGAGAAGAATCCAGATGAGACTGTCAGTGAGCTGCATGTAAACTGCAGAAGACAGAGTTGGGCAAATGCAAGTGTATGTAGCTGGAGAAGCCACAGGGGTGAGGAAACACACACACACACGCGCGCGCGCGCGCGCGCGCACACACACACACACACACACACACACCCTCATGACGGCCGATAGCAGAGCCCGTGGAGTCCCTGGGAGGAGAGAGCTCAGTCCTGGGAGAGGTGTAGGAGGAGATTTTTTTTCTTTTTAAATTTAGGTTGTTTATTTTTCATTTCAATGAACATCTACAGAGATTTTGGGATTCCATTCATTCATTGTTGCACCCTTCTCCCCGCACAAACCCCTCCCCCTTCCCCCCTCCAATTGCTCCTCTCCTTGAAACGCAAAAGTAAAACTCCCTCATTGGTACACAACAAGCAGACAAATTCATTGTGAGATTCCAGGCACGGTCCATGTGGGCAGCACAGTGTGTGAGAGGTCAGGGAGGCCAGCCTCCTGAGAGGGGCGGGAGGTCACTGCAGATGTGGGGCTATGTCCCATAGACTGGCTGGACCGATGTGCTGAGGGCAGTGCTAGGTGGGCGGCAGTGGTGAGCAGGGCTGTAAGGAGGGATCTGAAGACAGTCCACATGCACAGGGCAAGACTTCACGGGTTACAGAAAGGTGTGTGTGTGAGAGTGAGTGTGTGTGTGTGTGTGTGTGTGCGCGCGCGTGTGTGCGCTCGTGTGTGTGTGTGTGTGTGTGTGTGTGTGTGTGTACCTGCAGAAGCAGATGCCAGCTGGGAGCGGCTGGACAGAGGCTGCTGCAGGGGACGGTGGCCGTGACCATGAACCCGGGGTTTACACAGATGAGTAGATTTATAGTATGTTTCTATGTGTAGTCATTAACAGTGATTAACGGGCTGATAATGGAGGAGAAATCCAGAAAAGCTCCAGAGACGTGGCTCCTTACAGGGCAGGCACTGTCTACCCAATGGGCAGCTGGGGGGTTGACCAGCAGTCTCACGGGTTAAGACGCTGACAGTGGGACAGAAGAGGAAGAACTGTATTTTATTTCATTTTCGCATGAGGTCTATGCAATCAGTCTGGAATACCCAGGAATAATAATTTGTCCAGCATTGACATTTAGTAGGCACCAAGAAGTAAAGGAGGACTGTTCACACGTTCCCATGGACTCCCTGCAGCTATGCTAATGGGGTATTGTCATTCCAATTGCACAGAAGGGGATGGGGCGATCACTGGAGTAACATTTCCAAGCTGGGGAGAAGTGGAAGCGGAATAATGGTGGGTCCAGAGCCCGAGTGTTGGTAGCACCCCCTGACTCACACAGAGACGAGAATAACCAGTCCGGAATTCACTGATACAAACCTGCACTCACAATGTCTGTGTGTAGATAAATTCTGTAATCCTTCCACAGGTCATCAGAGAAGTGGACTCCTGGGGAGGAAGGAGCCCTGCTGGCTGACCGCTGGGCCGCTGACTAAAACGCTAGCGATTCTTTGCAGCACTATTTACAATTCAAAGGGTGGGAACTAGAGGCCTTCACAGGATGGAGTTCTGAGCAACATTTAAAAAGAATAAAAAACGCTGTACAGCAGGGATCCATCTGCAGGATATTGCGCTGAGTGAAATAAAACCATAACCCCTTCTCTAAATTGCCTCCAAGTCAGAACCAACTCCAGCAGCAGATTACCAAGGCTGTTCACCCGTGGGGGAGAGTGCCTGTCTCTCTCCCAGGGATTCCTGGTGGATTCGAACCAGAAGGGAAGTGTGGCCTTTGGTTAGTAGTTAACACCCTACAGACCACAAAAGGACAAATACTGCGTAAGGGCCACTGTTCCAAAACCGAGGCAACTTTTACCCACTGTAGAATCACTGGGGTTGCTTCCCAGGGCTGGGAAGAGAGGAAAGGGGGAGTGAAAGCTGGTGCCCGGAAAGCAGGCACGCATGGACGGATGATGGGAAAGCAATATCCAGAGGGGGTGGTCAACGTTCCTCACTAAAGAAAGAGGAGACAGACGTGCAGAAGGGTTCATGGAAATCAGAAGCGCGGGCAGGTGGGGAAACGGGGCTGCGTCATGAGTATTCACATGAACGTTGTTGAACAAAATGATCGTGAGTAACTGAGTAAAGAAGTTACTTGTTTTAAACCTTCACTCAAATCACAGTAATAATCATTAACAACACAAATGTGGGCAGTCTGTCTCCCAGCAGCGCTACAGGGGAAGGGCCTGGTGATTGGTTCCTGTGAGGAGTCCAAGGGGGAAGCCCAGCCCCATCTGCATGTCCAGCTCCCAGGACCCTGCAGGACAGAGAATTTCCGAGGATGAAATCTTTAGGGAAGCCACCTGCCTCATTGTCCTCCGGTGGAGGGATGGGAGGGTTCAAACCACCAACCTTTGGGTTAGCAAATGAATGCTTTAACCAGAGCACTACCAGAATCCCCCCACCCTGAAAGACTACAGCCTAGAAAACACTATGAAGCCGTTTCTACTCAGCCTCGCTGTGGTGCTGAGTCAAAATTCAACTCCACACACAAACAATACTAGAGAGGAGTCCAAACTTCAAAAATCCAACAATACCAGGTCAGAGCTAACATGCACACCCAGCAGGCATGCACGTGCAGAAGTCCTTAGAAAATAGAGCCGGGGCAGAGAAGCCACCATCTCAGCAGCTGGAGCAGAGGAGCGTGGTGGCCGAGACATCCAGACATGAAAAGACTCATGTCAAGTACAGAACCCCACCCACAGCCAGGTGAGCAGATGACCAGAGGATGGACGAGTCCAACAGGGAGAGGTGGAGACACCGCAACAGCAAAGCCCTGAAGGCTTCTAGCAACGTGCCGCATCTTCCCACTCTACAGCCAGGTGATAGTGCGTATCTGTGTGTCTACGAGGACACATCCACTACCGGGTTGTTAGAAGGGACGGACGGGAACACACAAGCTACACAGTGACTTTGGAAGCTCGTCAAAAGAAAACTTCTCTGTCTGCAACTGACTGAAGAGGACAGGGGGTAGGCAAGGGCGGGAACTGGAGAGAGGGAAGCATCAACCTCACCTCAGTGATTTTACTATAAAACCACCAGCCCTTTTCCAGGTACCACAGGTTCTGCTCCCTCAGAGTCCTCAGATGACACACAGTCTCTTAAACAAAATTCACCATCATCTAGATGCAGATGGCCAGCCGATTCTCCGTGCCATGCCTGAGGGCTTTCCTCTGGTCTATCTGGGTTCCAGGTAGCAGTGAGAAGATGACCTCTCTGCCTACAGAGACTTGGCTGTGTTTTAGTAGCATCAAGAGAGGAACACCAAGATGTGATCCCGTGATGTCAGGAGACAGAGGGGGTTCTCTAGGCAGGGACAAGACTGGGGTGCTCTTTTCTGACCCTACATACAAGATGTGCCCTCCATGGTGGCAGGGAAGGTTCCTGCGCCTCCCTGCACAGCTGATCACATTTGGCTTTCAGAAGGAAGACTGTTCTCCCTGGCTGCTGGAGCCGAGGTGGGGGCAGGACGGAGAGGGATGGTGAGAGAAGTGGACGTTCAGGACCTGGCACTGTGCCCTCGGAGTCTGCGGTAGCACTGCTCACTGGTTAGGGCAGGGCTTGGGGGTGGTCACTTACCACTATTCAGCCACTTCTGCTGGTGTGGAAGGCAGGAAGGAACTCCTCACTGGGTCTGGAATGAAAAGAAATGGGAAAGTAAGGTGATATACGGACCCATGGCTAAGCGCAGCAGGAGTGGACGTTCCTGCAGTCCTGCTGCTTCTGAGCAGAAGGCCAGCCCTGGAGGAGGGGACAGACCTAGACTATGCCTGCACCTGAGCTGGGGCCAGGCTGGGGTCCCCAGGCACCTGGGGCCAGGGTGCCCATTCCTTCCTGGGGCAGCAGTCCAAGAAGCAGTGGCAAGTATCTCCAACTGCTGAGGGACTTATATGGTGTCAGGACTTTCCCTGAGTGCCACCAAGACCCGAGGGAGAGGAACCTCACAGATAGCAGCTCAGGTCTCTTCTGGGAGCCACAAGAACTTCTGTTGTCTATAGTGGTAGAATTGTTTTTACTTTATATTAGTCCCATGGGAGTGGGGACTGTCCAGTGTGGCTGAATATTTTGGAAAACACACACACACACACACACACACACACACACACACACACACACACAGAGAGAGAGATGCATTCTCTATTAAAACATGAAGAGAACAGGGTTTTACAAGATCTGTTCCTCATCTCCATCTCTGTTCACAGGTTACGAATAGTTGTTCTCAGTGTAACTTAAAGAACATGGTAGTTTTCATATTCCTGGGGAGAGGGTGATAGACCCTCCACAACTTTTAGAAGATGAGACTGCCTCCTGGCTGCTTGCTGGAACTGAGGGAATTTTGAAGGGGGAAAAGTTTAAGTAGAAGTTTTTTGTTGTGTTAAGTATTTTCCCATAATTTTGTGCTACATAATATTACTTCACAACAGGCTGGGCACCAGATGTAGCCAGCGTCTTCTAAGGAGACCATGGTCACCTTGCTAGCTACCCTTGGATTCCACTTGACCAATGTTCTGTGCTCTGGGACAAAGCTCTAGTTCTCTGCACCTCACTTCTCGGTCTTCTGCAAGATCACTGAATACAGCCCATGCACCAAGAAATGCCTTCAAGATCACTGTGGCTTCTGGAAAGGGCACATAGAGGTTGGGTAATCAGAAATCACTTCTTTTGGCGTGTCACACATTCTCACGGTAACTAGCAAGTTGCATATAGTTCTCCTGCAGGTGTACGCCCTTTAATTCAGGATGGTTAAAAGATAACGTCAGGACATGGGTGGGTTTTTTTGTGGGGGGCAGGGGAGTAACTTTCTACAAAAAATTGGTTCCTCAGTCATTTATCTCCATAAATATTTCACTCATAATAACATCGAGCTCCTTCAGACATATGGTTGGTTTGCTTTTTTGCAATATCCATAGCACTTTATTGCAGATCTTGGAAGGACATTGAAGTTCCCCTCAAAAGCTGCTTCCCCATCTGGGAGTGGTCATTAGATTTTGACACAAGCATTAGATCCTAACTTACTTAACAATACAGGTTTTTTAGTAAAGTTACAGAATTTCTGCATTTGAAAAGAACAGTTGGTATCACTTCTTGCATCTGTTTGGCCACAGAGATGAAACGCACTGAGAGTTGCTGTTGTTGTTGGGTGCCATCAAGTTGGAACCAACCCATAGCTGATCCTCCAGTGGGTTTTCAGAGGCTGTAAATCACAAGGGAGGAAACTGCCCATCTTTCTCTCAGACAGCAGCTGGTGGATTTGAACCATGGGCCTATGTGATTGCAGTACAACTTCTTAACAGTAGGCCACCAGAGCCCCTGGTACTTGCCAAACATCAGAGAAGGAGACAGTATCTCCAGTTGGGTGTGTAGTTAGGTGAGCCTCAAATTCACAGGAACTGTAGTTAGAAAAGGCAGCTTTAAAAATTTACCCCACGCTCATGCACAGATCTGAAAGAGGATATTTCAATGTGGGTATCTGTATGCACTGCAAATATACCCATGTTATAGCAGAGTGTACAGGGACAATATTAATAAGCTTCTTAATCCTAAACACCCTTAGTGAATCAATCTCTTGTCACAGGGCCTCAGTATCAGTCACAGTGGACATCAAGGTCATTTGGCAAAAAATGAAATTCTCCATGGATTCTAGACTCATGTCAAGACTTTTAAATGGCATTAATAAAGGAGCTCTGGTGGCCTAGTGGCAAGAAGCTGTGTCTGCAATTCCAGAGGTGTGTGGTTCGGATCCACCAAATGCTCTGCTGAGAAGGAGGGGCAATCTCCTCCTGTGCCAGTTGGATCTGATTTGACAGCACACAATGAGTTTAAAAATGAATTAATTACTTAATTAAAAATAAAATAAAAAATTAAAATGGCATTAAGGCTCACCCTTCTGACTGCTCTATTTACCTACACCAAGCCTTTGGCTTTTTAACTCTCACACATAATCAAGACACAGGCATTTCCAAAATGTTGTCTTGTGCCTCTGTCAGCCAACCATCTGCATACTCCTAGCACCTGGAGACACTGGTCTGGCTTCTGTCCCTGTGATTTTGTTTATTCCAAATGGCACATAAACAAGAGGATAACACCTAGTGCACAGCTTCACTTCTTTGCTGGTGAGAGTGAGGCATGTTGTTGCGTATGTCAGTAGTTCACTCTTAAAGATACACACACACACAAGTGTGGTGCTGATAACCTGAAGTCAGCACATATCTGACAGTTTGAATCCACTAGTGGCTCCATGAAAGGAAGATTGACAATCTCCTCCCATATTAAAGTCCCTGAAAATCCTCTGGCAGACAGCTGTGTCATTTCTGACTCTGCATCAATGAGAATTTTTCCCCTCTAGTCTGACATATTTCAGTTAACAGATGCTGCCCTGGACATGCTCACCAAGTTGTGCCAAGAAATCTGGAGAACGACCACTTGGTCAACTGA